TTTGCCAGTTCCAGGGATTAGGACACAGACATATTGTTGGGAGCCGAACCAGCCTACTCCAGACCTCAACCATTGCCCACCTTGGAGCACAGACCTTGGAACACAGTCAGCACTCAGGAACATCTTGAGAACAGTATGTCTCTTACCTCTACTTCTCCTGGGTTATTTCTGCTTCTGTGGCTTGACTGCTTTGTTCACTATCAATGCCAACCAAATATGGCAGCCTTCATCCTAGGAACTACATAATTTTCCTCCTCAGTTCTCCATAAATTACTAATTCATTCTTTTACTGGTCATATTTCAAAATTCATGAGACAGACCACTTACCCATCCTTTTTGCCTGGTATTTACTATTTATGCAGACAGCTTAAACCAGAAGAAAAATCTCAGGATTATAGATTTTTCAGATCCTCTCCTAAGAAAGTGGAGTGGGAAGGAGAGAGAACTGTGCTTCAACTGTGGCAGAGAGACAGACACTCCTCTGATTTTTGAGATGCAGTGCTAACTTCAGTCTATAGGTTTGCTAATCAGAGTTTTAGGACCCACATCAGAGGAAATTTCCTGAGTCACACAACTTTGCTTTGTTTTCTACACATCATCTCCAGGAATCTGGGAACTCGTTCTGTTCTGGGCACTCTTTGCTGGGCATCAAAAGGATTGAACCTTGGAGTATCTCTGGGCTCAGGGCAAGATGTCTGATTTCTATCCCCAGTTTAATCTCTATCTTTATATCCGTATGTGACACCTTTTGGCAAAATACATTCCTCCTGCTTCTGACTTTTCTAGCTTCAGTTGGGGAGCATTGTATCTTAATGCATCATTCTCCACTAACATGAGCAACTCTAATGTACAAATATACTTTTAATGAGTAATTAAGAAGTACTATAAATTTCTACATGAATGCATTTTATTGTCACTCCAAAGTGAATCATATGATGCTCTGTGAAATCCAATAATAGAAACAGAAACAAGAATTTAAAAAGACAGAGAAATTCTATTTTGTTGCTGCCAACAAGCTGGAAATCCCCTTGAAGAAATATTTTAAAATTAAGATAGCAGCTGGAAGCATTTAGATATTCCAAAATACTTCGGCATTCCTTGTAGACTGACATTTGCAGATTTTTAATAATGTCTTTTAAGAAGAAATGAAGAGTGGGCCTATCAGCAAAGTGATTTTTAGAAAAATTGCTTTCTTATTTCTAAGTAAAGCAAAGATCATAGGTACTTGGCTTCAGACAAGCTTTTTTTCTTCAGAATCTTCAGGAAAATACCTCTGATCTGCGCCTGCTGAGCACCACACCCCCACCTCCTCCCCTGTTTTCAAAGGGGTGTAGCCAAGAGAGGAAGGACATTAATCTCACATATATTGAATCAGTAATTAAGTGAAAATGTTTATGGAATTTCCTCTTAACATTTTATACATGTTTCTGTCTGCTATTTTACAGTTTGGACTTTGTAAATCTTTGTTTTCCCCAGAGACTCATAAGCCTCTTCCTTAAAATGCTTTCATCCCTTTTGTGTAATTCCTCTCCAAATTTCCCAGGACTTTCTTAGGCTCCCTGAGAGCAGACACTAATTTTAGGGAAGTTCGTTAGGTTTCTGTGGGTGAGAGTTGTCTGGGGCACTCATCACAGAATACCTGCCTTCCAGGTGAGATGATGCCAAGCCTGAGTGTCTGTCTGACTTCAGTGTCTCTGGTTGCCCACCTCTAAATTGAACATAAAATATATGTCACCTCAAGCTTAATTATTGTTAATTAATTAAGCATGCTAACTTCCTCTTATGAAAGACAGCACTTATCATTAAATTAGGACATTTATATGTCAGTTATAAATTTACTTTATGAGGAAAGCACCACAAATTCTTTGAGGAAACAGTGTTTTCCAGGCAATATTTTCACTGTCCTCTCCAATTTAGAAACTTCACCAACAAAGACTGATGTAAGAAAGAGACAAAGAAAGATTATAGTTTAAGAATTCTAAGGGGAAGAAAGTCTGGATTAGGGAACAGATACCTTTTATCCTGTTTTGCAAATTCCAAGTTCCTAAGTTTGTTTTCTTTTTTATGTGTCATGTTTTTTTAGTACGCATATTTTATCGATTATGCTGTTACACTTGTCCCGTTTTTCCCCCATTGCCCTCCTCTGCCCAGTACCCCGATTCTCTCCAGCAACCCCCTGCCTTGGTTCATGTCCATGGGTCATGCATATAAGTTCTTTGGCTTCTCCATTTCCTATACTATTCCCAACATCCCCCCGTCTGTTCTGTACCCACCAACTATGCTTCTTATTCCCCGCAACTTTTCCCCCATGTTTTCTTTTCAAAGCTGGCTACAAGGTTGCTGTTAGGAAATAATACATCTAAAGAATGATAATCCATGGCCTTCAAAATGTGCCTTTGGCAAGTGGGATCCAGGATGCTTCACTGCTTGACACATCCGGCTGGGCCACATGCACATCAGTCCCGACAGTCCAGTTCACGCCCACGTGTCTATTTTGTCCCACTAGAACACCCCTCTCCCCGGGACTGCCAAGTTTACCTGACTCGGCCGAGTAACCAAATGGCCCTCAAGTTGCCCTGTGATATTAGTGAAAAGTTCAAAGGAGTCTGAAAGCTTAAAGTCAAATATATAATATGTAAATCACCTTTCTGTAAAATGCAATGTTCCTATCAGATTAGAGCATATTTTCTTTTAATTTCCTTCAATGGTTTATGCCAGAAACTTGGAGGTACAGTAAACCAAGAGCACACAGCAGGAATATTTTGGAGTTCCTCGAGGAGCTCCTTGCCATTTGGCAAGATAAAATAATACATAAAATAAATTTCTTCATGTATCTAAATATTTACTATAGACGATGTGTATACATATATTTTTTCCTACACTGGTCTTAAATGACTTTAATACCTTCTATTTTTATAGAGGAGAGAGAGAGATGAAAGGATTAAGTTGTACTTCTCCATTCCGTCTTAAAAATCTCAAACTGAATGTTTCATAATAAGTTTGCAGAAATTAATAAAAATAAAATATGGTATAAAAATGCTCTCCAAAATATGATATCAAACAGAGCCCTAAAAATTCTGTGTTCCTATTAGGCAACCCTTCCTAAGTACCTCCCCCCACCCCACAACACAGAAACCACTGAACTTGGTACTGTCTCCATAGTTTTACCTTTTGCTGAATGTCATGACTGAAGCATACAGACTTTTCAGGTTGGCCTTTTTCACTTAGTAATATGCATGTCGGGTGCCTCCATGTCTTCTCACAGCCTGAAAACTCATTTCTTTTTAGCACTGAATAACATTTGACTGCCTAAATGTACAGCTGTTTATCTATTCACCTACTGAGCGACATTTTAGTTGCTTCCAAGTTTAGGCAATAATGAATAAAGCTGCTATAAACATCCGTGTGCAGGTTTTGGACAAACATGACTGTTCAACTCCTTTGAGTAAATACCTAGGAGCATGATTACTGTATCATATGCGAAGAGTGTATTTAGTTTTGTAAGAAGCTGGCAAAATGTCTTATAAAATGGCTGTACCACTTTGCATCCCCACCACATGTTCACCAGCATTTGAAGTCAGTGTTCTGGATTTTCGCCATTCAAATAGGTGTGCAGTGGTATCTCATTGTTGTTTGAATTTGCATTTCCCTGATGACAGCTGATGTGGAACGTCTTTTCATATGCTTATTTGCCATCTGTATATCTTCTTTGGTGGGGAGTCTGCTAAGGTCTTTGGCCTATGTTTTAACTGGGCTGTTTCTTTTCTTATTGGTGAGTTTTAAGAGCTCTTTGTATACTTTGTATGACAGTCCTTTACCAGATACGCGTTTTTGCAAATATTTGCTTCTAGTCCCTGGCTCATCTTATTCTCCTGTCATCATTTTGTCATGAATCAGAAGTTTTTAATCTTAATGAAGTTCCAGTTTATTGATTAGTTCTTTCAGTCATCTTGGTTTTCTCCTGTTATTTTCTTCTAGTTTTATAGTTTCGTGCTTTACATTTACATTCATAGGTCCATGAGCAATTTTAATTTAATGAAGGTTGTAAGATTTGTGTATAGATTCATTTTTCCACATGCGGATGCCCAGTTGTTCTAGAACAATTTGTTGAAAAGATTATCTTTGCTCCATGGGCCCCTTTCTAGCCTCTCTTTGTTTCTCTGGATCTATTAGTCTATCCTTTTACTAATACCACACTGTCTTGATTGGACTGCAGTAATTGTAGGAAATCCTGAAATCAGGTAGTGTGAGGGCTCCAACTTCATTCTTCCCCCTCAATACTGTGTTGGCTGCATGGGGTCTTTTACCTTTTTATACAAACTTTAGGATCAGTTTGTCAATACCCACAAAATACCAGTGAGAGATTTTGATTGGGATTGCACTGACTCTATTTATCATCTTGGGAATAAATGACATTTTGACAATATTGGGTTTTCATATCCATGAGCATTAACTATTTCTCCATTATTTAGTTCTTCTTCTGATTTCATTCAACAGAGTTTTGTAGCTTTCTCATATAGACCTTTTACATATTTGTTAGATGTATAATGTAAGTATTTCACTTTTGGGGGTGCTAATGTAAATGGTATTGTCATCAACTTCAAATTCCACTTTTGCATCACTAGTATATAGGGAAAAGATTGGCTTCTGTTCATTAACCTTGAATACTACAACCTTGCTATAATTGCTCGTTAGATCCAGGAGTATTTTGTTAATTCTCTGGATTTTCTACATAAATGGCTATTTTGCCTGTGAACCATAATAATTTTATTTCTTCTTTCCCATTCTATATACCTTTTGTTTCCTTTTTTTTGTCTTACTGTATTAGCTGGAACTGAACTTATTTTAACGCAATCAGGTAACTCAATTTTTTCCTTATAATATCTACATATACGGTAAAAGAAAGAAAAGCATGAAAGAGGTTCAAGTTTATAAAATATGGCAAAAATAACCTCTTTTTAAAATTTTATGTGTTCTAGCAAATGTGTGTTTTCACTTACGTTTATAGCTGACACCAGTTCTTGAAGTAAAGAAATAATTTTAGGTTTGCACTCTGATGTTTGTGAAATCACTCTGAGTCCAGCAGCAGTTTTCTCAATCATGCAAGTGGGAAACATCTGTAGTCAGTGCATTCTAAAAGGAATAAAAGATGAATGACTCATACCATGCAAGTGCCAATGAGACTTCCAATCAAATACATTCATTTAAACTGGGAAATAAGTTCATAAACAATCATTTAATCTGTCAGCTGTACACAGCATCCCCTCCCTAATATATGATTGCCATGAATGAGTGTAAGAAGTTCCTTAGAGAACACAGAATTAGATAAAAAGGAGTTTGTAATGTCTATAGCCTCATACCTGCCCAGAGATGTATTGAGTGAGATACAGCCCTTAATAGGACCTGAATAGATGATCATGTCTTAATTACTGTGAATATGAATAAATTAATAATTTCCCTTCTCTTGTCATCATTACCATGACTTTTGGCATAGTTCTTATCAGTAAATACTCAAAATATTTCATGGAATTGCTTTCCGCCTTTTTAAAGGCATCCAAGTCAAATGTTAAGATTTAAATTCTTCTAAATGAATTGACTTGTTAGTTTTGTGGTTTATGTGGGGGGTTTCCCACACATCAAGTGCCATGTTAAGCAGAATTTACCCCTAAAGGGCAATTTTATGGGGATGATGGATAGGTAATGCAGGTGTGTAGAAATTTTAAAACTAATTGAAAAATAAATGCTTTGCCGCTTTGCCCTGGGGCCATAGAACATCAGGTAATTCATCTTTCCTTTTCTTTATTCCTTTTTCCAACATTTTCTTTGCCAGTAGAGAAATCTCTTTATTTCTTGTCCATTTATAGTTTGGCATTTTAAAATTTTCCCTTATTCCTTTCCAAACTCTATTAAAATTGCCAGTTTTATTTTAGTCTGTTAAAAATATTGGTTGTGGATATAGCTTTATATAAAGCAGTCACTGGTTTTCAACATAGATAAGGATGGTATATAAAACACCAGTCTTAAATAGAAATATTTCTATACCACCAGTCAACAGTTCACATGTGCATTATCAGAACTCACCAAAACCTGGCAATGGTGATGATGGTTAAAACTTTCAGTTTTCAGTATATTCTTCCACTTAATGATTGGAGTACCTAGTATGGTGAGCATTATATTTAGTAATCCCAAGAAAGAAACCAAATCTCTACACTCAAGATGGTTATGAATTCTTTAAAAAGACATCCACATGTGAAAAGATGAACAAGAGAAGAATTAAATAGCTTACTAGCTCTGGCCGGGTGGCTCAGCTGATTGGAGCATCATCCCATAAACCAAAAACGCTGCTGGTTCAATGCCTGGCCGGGGCACATACCTAGGTTGTAGGTTTGATCCCCAGTCAGAGGTGTATGGGAAGCAACCAACTGATGTTTCCCTCTCACATCAGCATTTCTCTCCCTCCTCCCTGCTTTCCTCTTTCTCTAAAATCAATAAAAATAAAAATATATCCCTAGTGAGGGCTTAAAAAGTAGCCTATTAAAAAAGAGTAGAAGTGATGTTTCTAGGAATCATACATTAATATGATACAGGCCATAAATATAAAGACATTTAGATAAATTCAGAGAAAACTGTAAGTAAACTCAGTCAGAGAACGTTCCATTGCTGGTCAGACTTAAAGGATGGGGAGGATTCAGAGAGAACAGAGGATAAAGGTAAATATGTGAATGAATGAAGAGACTAAATGGTGTGAACAGAAATGTTGGAAATAAGAACGTATTAAAAGAGTAACTTTATCAGACTAAAGAGTTAGGGAGGTCAAAGTTAGGCACTCTGTCTAATATATAATGGCACATTATTACCTGATATTTCTTCCTTTGTGTACATGGGAACTATTTCAATAATATTATAATGGAGCATATCATATTACTCAATATTATTTATTGATTTGTTCTTGAACTCAACTGAGATTTCCCAGAGGCTGGGGCTGGGTTCCTTCTTTCCATCATCACTAGCATCAGTACACAACCTGTACATAAAAGTCACTTACTAAGACTTAGTTGAATGAAAGAAGGCAAAATAAATACTGATAGATTTTTCCTATTAATAAAAGTCATAATTTGTCATTAATGACTGGAATTTACATTCTCAGTAAGAAAGGCATAAGATATTTGAAGAGTTATTGGCTTCAAATGAGATTCTGTATATCTTTACACTAAAAATGGAATCTAGTAAAACACATTAGAAAATGTTAAATAAACTTAAATGGGTTTATTTTGAGGTATCCATTCATTCAACAAATACGTATTGAGTGCATCCTATGTGCTGGTCACAGATCTAGGTAAGTAGAATACAGATAAAGTAGTAAACAAAATAGATTAAAAACAATCTCTGCTTTCATAGAGCTTATATTCTAGTAGAGGGAAACAAAATAAATTTAAGTGAAAGTTCCATTGAGTATGATAGTTTGCAAAAATGACTAAACTTGTTTCTCTCTTCCTCTCTCCACATCCTTAACTATGTGCCACTGTAGTGAATGCTCACTCTGATTCTGTGCTTGGCCATGTGACCTGCTTTGGCCAATAAGACATGAGCAAATTGAAGGATGAGAATTATATGCTGCAGAGCCAAGATGTGCCCGTCATCTCATGGGGGCCCTTCTACGTTAGCCAACATCTGGGAGACCTGTGAACAAGCCTAGCCCGTATCAGTAGAACTGCTTGCATGATCCACGGTTGGCCACAGACACAGGCATGCACACGGAACAGATTAGATAAATGCTATCCATGTGAAGCTAAATCAACGTTTACGATTGCATACCATGAGAATTTGAGGTTGCGTGTTATGCAGCACCATTGCAGTAATGCTGACTAGTGTGATGGAGAAATAGAAAGCTGAAAAGGTCAACAGGAAGTGCCAGCAGGGAATAATATGCAAAATTAAATGAGGTAATCAAGGAAGTCTTCACTAAAAAGATGATATTTCACAAAAGACAAAGAAGGTAAGAGAGGGACCCAAGTAGGTATCCAGGCGGGAAGGGGGAGAGCCGCAGATGGGGCAGATGAGGTGTGCAGAGGCAGCTTGGGGTGGGCTGTCTGAGGAGTGACAAGAAGGCCAGTGCGGTGAAAGGCCAGAGAGCAAAAGAGAAACGAGGGAAGTGAGGTCAGGGCAGTAGAGGGAACAGGATAGACCCAAATCTGCAGAGCCCTAGAAACTTTTCAAAGCCTTAATGCACTAATAATCCTGTGAGTTTCCAAAAGGTTTCAAATTTCACAATTCCTCAAATGGCTTGATGATCCAGCACCTTTTCCAGAGAGTATCTCAAAGCGCTAGAGCTCTGCAGAGCCCACCTGTGGGAAGTTTCAATCCTAAGGTCCCAGGCAAGGCTGAGAGGGTCTGGGACAGGCTGAACTGAGCACCCCGACAAGACTTTCCAGAAGAGGTGGAGTCTGCTCCAAATCACGCTCCTGCCGGCAATGGGATCTGACATGTAGCAGATATATTGGCTTTTTTCATTAGACAAGTTTCATATGTGGCATATTACATCATCACATAAATGTTCCAAATGAAATAAAATTCAACTGAAGAAATTGGACAGTGTGTAAAAATGCACAGAAGTTATAAATCACTAAGCCTTCCAAGCGTTCCACGAATAAAAACAAGGGTAGATTCTCCAGATGTTCCTAATCCACATCATTTGGATGGAGGGCCAATACTTTAACCTGTCTCAACAAAGAACATCTCATTTCTAAATAAAAGGAAGAAATGAAATTGCTGCGATGATTTTAAAGATGGATTAACATTTAAGTAACTTAAATAAAAATGCACATGGTTATTGATTTGTTACAGGAAGTATCATCTCAATCCAAGGTCCCTGATGTCAGAGCGGTTATGTTGTTTCTGCTGAATTTAAGACTATGTTTACGTGAAATGAGATTTTTCAATCACACTGTATTACCTGACCCCAAATTCCCCTTTCCCCATACTTCTTCATTATATAATCTTGCCCCAACTCCTTCCAATTGTGGCTACTTCTTCTGAAAGTAAGAAAAATTTTACAGGTGGGAATGTGTAGCATCAGCACTCACACAGAATCCATTGTATTATATTTAATTTGTGAAATCTCTCGGCCATCAGAACTACTTGATCTGTTATGTCTCTCATATTTCCCCCGTTATACTGTATATGCAATACTGTGTGTAGAAACATTTAAAAATAGTGTAAATAAATCATTTTGTAAAGAAACATGTTCATTAGACAGTACATCCCATACATTTAACAAAATTGCTACTTAAGTGCCAAATACCTATATGGAGACTGAGAAGAGGCAACTTTTCCTTTGCTCCCCTTAAAGATCCACATCCCCTCCTTCCATGGCAGATCATACTCCTTCGATTCCTTTTCTGCAGGACAGAATGAAGCCTTCTTCCCCCTGCTTCTGGTCCACATAACTACTGCTCCACATTTTTTGTGGAATCCACTTTTTGGGGATTCATAACACACAGCTCATTAAAGACCTTCGAAAGCCCTACAGTAAAGAGAACCTGTTTAACACGATGTTCTCCAATATGCCTGAACATGACGACCGTGTTCGCGTGGGTGGAGTGGATCTGTGTGTGGGGTGGAGGGGGTGGAGGGGCAGGCTGTGATAGAATAACATTTCTACTATTGGTTCTCAAAATACTGCTTAAGACAAACCGAGTTTGAGGACTCTGCTAGACTGAAACCTGAATGTGGCTCCCTGTAGCTGAACCATACGGCAGCCTGTTTGGAGTTTGATCTATAGCAAACGGGAACTATTTTAATTGTTGAACAGGAAATTCACAAGGAAAAATTATGTGTGTTGAAACTGTTACCCTGACAATGATAATGCTGAGTGGGGTTTAATGAAGGAGGACATAGAACTAGGAAAACTAGTCAGAAAACTACTATTCTAGCTTAACCAGGAGTGCTGGAACCAAGAAACAGCAAAGCGGGTGAAGATAAAGGGGGAGACGTGAAAAATCAGGAAAAAGACCTTGCCAAGGAAGTGGATCCCTCATCTGGAATATGGGGGAAATGCTAACTAGTGAGTTGGAAGCAGTGTGTTGGTATTGAGATGGTGGATCAGAAAAAAACAAGAAAATTAGATAACATTG